TGCACGACACTGACGTTCTGCTGCTGCGGCCTGAAGTAATGTGGAGTGGACAGCAGCTAATGGTGTTCGATCACTGACTTCATGGAGCTTCTCGCCCGGTGCTACTGTTGCTCTGTATTTTAGCTGCATGCTGAAGCGCAGCGTTGTATTTAGGCTCTTGTCGATTCCTATTCGCAGAGTGGTTCGTGCAAAATGATCAAAATGGGCCAAATCACAGAAACAGCAGATTGACATTAGTACCAGGGCTTCACACACGATGAGCTAACACAGGTAGCGCAACAAAGAATGTAAATGACTTACCTGTAAAAACTGTTCCTGATGTTTCAGTTTCTTTGCTTCAGGGAAATCTTGAAGAAGATTCTGTTCGTGTGTCTCTGATGATTCCACGTCAGGTTTTATCCGGTTCAGAGACCAGGGCCTCATGGTCACCTGCTTTTAAAATGGCTGCTGCTCAGTTGAAGTTGGGGCTGAATTAGCATCTCGCTCCACTGCGTCGATGTTAGCTGACGTGAGGTCAAAAGCAGCTAGCTCGATGGAGTCTGATTTCTTGGTTATATCAACCTTGATTTAAATGGCTGTAAACAAAGATGGACATGACAGCTCCACCGAAATGAGGCCAGGTCATGTAGACTGCCCCCTGATGGCTGGCTGTGGTATAGGTCATAAGTAGGCTGCATGTTAAAGTATGGTTGTTGACATTTTAGGTAGTTGGCGAATTTTAATATTGGTTTTCAGGGATTGCTGATATTTATAGTCTTTTGGCCAGAATTAAATTTGTTTGCAGTTAGCCGGGGAACACAGAGTAACATTTGGGAGAGAGAACCAGATATTTCCCTCTGGGGATTGATGGAGACCAAAACTGAGGGGAAAGAGAGTGAATTTATATTTACCAGAAGGTCATTTACACAACTCCCAATTTAAATGATCAACTATTGACAAGGGTGTTTTCCACTGGCATTCATACAAGTCGGACATACATCCGCCTGTGGAGACAACCTTATTAGTGCTTTACATCACAGAGCAAATAGGGAAATAGGATTAAGGCGGTGTCTATGCATCAGTGAACACACGTCAGCCTCTTAGCTGCAGCCCGAATGCTCAGGCCCGATCAATCCTCATTCGAAACAAACCTGTGCATTGAGAGCGACTGCAGGTAACGCAGCCTTTAAAGGCCACAGAGGAATATCAATGTGATGGAGGGGGTGTGAAGAACTGACAACATTGTGTCTAATTGCCAATGTGAGACTCCCTGTGTGGAGATAACAAGGTATCTCCAGTCATGACAGATGCACACGATGGGAAGTGGGTGATGGGCGGGAGAGTCCGATCACGTCAATACAAAGGGATCAAAGCAGCAACTTATATCCTCTTACTGATAAAATAATCTCTTACTAAGAGAGAGTACTTTTGCTTCTGAGATGCAAAGAAGACAACAAGCATACATGTTCTGTGGCCATCATGCTTTGTGCATTAGCAGCTAATTATCAGTGCTATTAATGATTTGTTTAAAAATGCTTCAGTAACTGTTGATACATATGTAAAAGGACACAGCAACTCCACATGGTTTGTAATTGGTTTTTATTAGCAAAATAAGGGAAATGAGTCTACAAAGATTCTCCTTCTGCGGAGAACATACACATACAATGACAGTTGTGGCAGTTTCTTTATATGAACAGATCCAGGACCGTGATAACCATCATTCCTCTTGGCAAAGTAGCGCTGATCTAAAAATCACAGGCCAGTTTTCCCTTGACCTTCTTTATTCCCGTCACCTCATAATTAATCAGCGCCTTCTTCACGGATCCTCAAACAGCAACCCCCCCCGCCCTCTACTCGCTGCAGCTGGATGAGATCCGTGATTCGGCGTCTGACTGCGTCCTCACCTTTACAACAATCTTTTCTGTGGTTTAGTTTTTTTCCCCCTCCTCACTACCAAAGACTCCATAACCTCCTCTGAATACATTAAAATATACAGTAAAATGTGCCAACTCTGGTCTTTGTACTTTAAAACACGTGAGCGTATTATAAGCTCAGCGGCTCCGCTAACCATTTTCTCAATGGCTGGGAAGAAGGGATATTTTATACACCGTTTAAAAACCCGAACCCCAGATTTGTGGGGTAACAATATACATCTCAGTATTGTACTGTGTGGTCGGCCAGCGAGGCCTGTCATTGTCGTAGCGGGTGGGGGGGGGCGTGGGGATAGTGGACTGTGGAGGCTACATGTTGGTCACTATGACGACCCATGTACCTTTTTTAGACCAGAGGGAAATCCTCCTCCTCCTGATAGCTCAGTGGTGTGCACATAGAAGATAGCAGGGACACTAACATATGAAAACAGTTTACCTCTTAATGTTCAGAACAATTCAGCAGGCAACAGAACAAGCATTAGGACTACGACCGCAGTAAAAGGCATGCGAAGGCACAAGTACCAACAAACTGGACTCAAAGTTGAACCTCTTTTCTTCCCTTTTGGTTGTAGGTAAGGAAGAAAAGAAGAATGTCCACCGATAGCAAAGTTTCCTTTTCCAGAGACAGCGGCAGAAGAAACAGCAAAAAAAAAAAAGAAAAAAAAAAGATGTGATCGCCTCCACCTCCACAAAAATCAAAAACAAAAAACAGAGGGAATTTAAAAAATGTGCGAAATTTGCTGTGACGCTTTTACAATGATACAAACATCCTACACAAATTTCAACGCTAGTTCAAAATGTTCCAAGACAAAAACATAAATAAAGCTGTTAAAAGTGGCATATAGTACAGCACTGGTCCGTGACTGATCCTCCCGACTCTTCTCATCTTCCCCACCAAAGATGCACAGTAAGCTGGCTCCACCGCCTGAGGACACAAGACGAGAGACACATGAGGGGAGGGGGAAAGAAGAGGGACGGCTTGTTGTTAAAGAGACGTTCTGCAGAGCTCAACCTTGTCGCTAACATTTCACCACCATCTAAATCTAAATCCATCTAAAGCATAAAATCTATTTAGGCCTCTAATAAAAGATGGCATTGATTCCAACGATTAAATTATGATTTTTGATGAAGACCGATTAGTCTGCATGACTGTGGTCAACTCCAGCTACGCTCTGTTCGCAGCCAGTTTGAAAGAGGAAACGCTAGATTGGAGGCAGACATTTAAACCAGGCTCCCTCGGTTTCCTTAGCAACTCCCACTGCATCCCGATGCTACAGGGAACACGCATTCAGTCATCATCCTGAGCGTCCAGCATGCGAGCCAGTCGCAAAGGGCGTGGTGAGGAGATGAAGAAGAGGGTGAGGAGGAGAGTTCCTTACCTAGAAAAAAACGGGCCATCGTCTTTGTGGTCATTGTCCTCAGAAGAGACCACAGTCTTTCAGGTTGTTCTTGATGATCACGTCGGTGACGGCGTCAAAGACAAACTGCACATTCTTGGTGTCTGTGGCGCAGGTGAAGTGGGTGTAAATCTCCTTGGTGTCCTTCCGCTTGTTCAGGTCCTCGAACTGACACTGGATGTAGGCGGCGGCCTCCTCATACGTGTTGGAGCCTGAAAAAGATGACAAGCAGGAAGTCACAATCACAGACTGTATTTAAAGTCCATCCAAACACCCCTTGATTTTCTGCATTAAAGAAACAGGTTTGAGCTTGTTCTTCATTATGTGATCTCACCTGCATACTCTGGGTAGCAGATGGTGAGAGGACTCTTCTTGATCTTCTCCTCGAACAGGTCTTTCTTGTTGAGGAAGAGGATGATGGAGGTGTCCGTGAACCACTTGTTGTTGCAGATGCTGTCGAACAGCTTCATACTCTCGTGCATTCGGTTCTGAAGAAAGAAGGAAGATGACGTCGGTCACTGCGCTTCACACGGAGAAGATCGTGACTCCATCTATGACCCGTCACAAAGTGTGAGCGACTCACCATCTCCTCGTCCTCGGCCAGTACCAGGTCGTAGTCGCTGAGGGCCACGCAGAAGATGATGGCGGTCACACCCTCGAAGCAGTGGATCCACTTCTTCCTCTCAGATCGCTGACCGCCGACATCAAACATTCTGGGGGACAGAAAGAAAGAACGTGAAGCGTCCTGGCTGAGAAGATCAGTCCTCTTTAATTCTCTTTACCCTCACAGGCTAAGCCACAGATAAAACACAGAAACATTGAGCATTTGTTTGGGTGCAGGGTCCTCCTCCGTCAAATTGTTCCATCTCTGCCTCCCAACAAAATTCTGCTTATAGTGATCACGTTTGTTTGGGCCAAATTCCTCACTATAACATGTTGATTACTATAAAAGAATTGCGTAGCTTCGGTATGAAGTCGTAGAACTCGAGGGAAAGGTAACCCTCTGCCCTGGGCTGGAAGCAACTCTGTTCCCTGGGTCCGTTCCCCGGAGCTGTGCGCTCAGCCTGGGGCAGTGGAGCGGTGCGTGGCTTTCTGTTCCCCTGCCCAGGCTCAGTACCACACCCGCCTAGCTTTTGTCCCAGAAAAACCCTGTTGTGGTTATGTAACAAACCAACAGTGGGTTCTGGCCGTGTATGAATTTCAATGTCAAACAGCATCATCTACTAAACTCGGCCAACATGACTTTATGGAGCCGCCTGCCCCCATGTTGTGTCGCCTGAGTCATCGCTGCTGCGCACGACACCATCGCAACCACTATGTCGCAACTCACAGCTGCACATGCAACAAAGGGAATTTCTACTGGAGCCAGTGAGTCAGTAACAGGAAGGAAACCTAATTAAGCCATCGTGTAAAAAACAACAACACAGTTTGATGTGATTGTTCAAGCGAAGTTAATTCTCACTTGAAGTGCAGGTCCTTGAACGTGAAGTGTGTCTCCACAATGCCTGTGGTTTTGACTCGGGTCCTCAGCACATCCTGCTGGGTTGGGATGTAGGTGGCCTGGGATATCCTGTCCAGATCGTTCAAGTAGCTGAGAGGAGGAGACGGACAAGAAGGAGGAAGGAAGAGGGGAGAGAAAAAAGGTGAAAAGAATAAAAGGAGGTGAGAGGGAGCAGGAGGGGAAACAAGTGGGAGAAACTGTGTCAGAAGCATCAAGGGCAAGTATCAACTCACAAAGCATCGTCAAGGGGGAGCAACTCAGGTTAGATTCTATAATTCAGACATGATTCAAACTTTCCTGTTGAAAAAACATTCGAGTGGAAAAAGTTACTTTGCAACATTTGAGTTGTCTCACAGGTTTAGATACAAATCCCGACAATAGACAGTAAATAAAGATGAACGATGTGTCGCCACTTCCTCCCACCATCCAGAAATGAAGCTATTTGGAGCCAGAGTCTGCACAGGAGCGATTACTGGATGCAGCCGTGATAGCGAGTGTCCGTCAATACACGGGCTCGGCTGATAACAAGTCAATCACAGCTGTCAATCACGATGTTTCACCCTGTGAGAACTACCTAAAAAAAAAAGAACTAGGCGTTTCGGGATACAGTCTATAACCTGGATTCACTGACAACATAAAAAACAAGACCTTCCTGTGTTCAGTTTAGACGTGATGCCACCGTGGTTTAGTGGTTTGAGCTGTTGCCTGGGAGCAAACAGGTCCTGCTCTTTTCACTGAGATGTGACTGAATTGTTGTTTTGTCTGTGTTTGGTGGATTCCCCGCAGGTTCCTTCCTGGGTCGAAGGAAACGCAGCTGAAGTGGAAAGTTCCTACGTGAAAGTGTGAATGTGTTTGTGTGTCCGTGGTGTAATGGATGAACCATCTGTCCAGGGTGCTGTATCACATTGTCCTGAATGGGAATAAAGAGGAATAGGATGGATGTTTTCACTCCTGTCAGCGGCTGGTTTGTTTGTCAGCAGGATTACGCAAACAGAATCAGGATTTGTTTCATAACTTTAACCTAGTGAGAGATTCTGTTCACCTTTTTAACTGATCTCCCAGGGAGTAATTCAGGCATGAATTGTGTACCATTTGTTGGGCCTTGGCCGAGGTTTGCGCATGAAGTGGATTCTAAGCTTTCTTTTATTCCTCTTAATAAAATCCCCGAACACGAAAATCCCCCAAACTCCCACACAGCTAAACAACATTTACTGTATTTTGCTCATGGTGGTGCTATTACAACATCAAATATCAAAGGTTTGGAAAAAATGTTGAGTCTGAACGGACTTTAACTTTCAAACTTTCACCAAAAAACCCACAATCACCTGATGGACATAGTTTGTTTTTTTAGTCCTTCAATTATCC